TCCGGGGTCTCTAAGTCGAATACCGGCTAAGTTATGCTTCGTCAAAAATAATTAATCGTTTAATGGCCCCCCCCCCACTCCGCCCAACGGTCGCCTCTACGCGCGTGACGACCGATGTTGGGTAGCCTACGCGAATGGAACCGCAGTGTTGCCAGATGGTACGATCCTACTGGAGACATACGATAATATTGCGCCCTGTATGATCCCCAACCAATGTACGATAATTTTGAAGACGCGGTACGATCATCCCTCTTTCCAAACCTGGCAACACTGATGGAACGCCTCACAGCGAGGTAACGGCACCTTTTTTCGTGCGTGCAGCCGGCTCCATTGATTTATAAGACGTTATCACGTCAAAAATTATTATGGACCCAATACTTGAAAATTTAATAGAAGACTCCACATGAGTTGTTTTACAGTCATTTAAAAATTATTATAAAACTAGGCACATTTTTTTTTTATAAACGTTCAAGCGCAAGTATTGAAAAAATTCGTCAAAATCATGAATATTTTAAATTAAAAAATTACCTAACCATGCCGTATGTAACCGCCAACCCGACCTAATTAAAAAATAAATTACTTGTTATAAAATAAAATATATAAAAATATTTAAATATAATATATCCTAGACTGACAAATCATCTCCGTTCAGAATCGTTTTTCGTATACAATGATATCTATCATTGCATTATTTAACACATACATTAAAATTACCTAATCTAGACTGAGGTCCCTAATGTACCTACAGCAGAGAGAGTTTCCGGTTTTTAAATTTTATAATAGGTCAATTCACTGTAATACTAAATATGACAGAGTTAAATAGATTATTCACAACGAACAATTTGCTATGCTACGGGTTTGTGCCGACCTCTTAAGCTATGGACATTTAATTTTTTTACATTGTATATTAATTATATAGGTATTTAGTTTTATCCAGTGGCGTGTATAGAAATAATTTGCGGGGTGGGCTACAATAGATGGAAACTAGTAAGTGGTCTAACACCTAGTACCTATACTAGGTACTACAATACAGAAGTGACTGTAATAATGTGGGGGGGGGGTCGGGCTGTGCCACCCCTTTACATACTCCATTCGTTATAACATACATTTTGAAGATAAAACTGAATAAAATAAAAAATATGTATTTGTATTTTATATGTTATAATTTAGATACTGACGACAAGCAATGAGTGGTTTGTGGACGGAACTTTTAAAATTGCACCAAGCCTATTTGCACAGGTATTTGTAATTTTGGCCAGTCGTAATGGAGGTGTCCATACATGCATATATGCATTATTGCCAAATTAAAATCAGACGACGTACAACAGACTATTGGTTGAAATTAAAAATCTAGCTCCAGGAATATTAGCTGGGAGTATTTCTGTTTATTTTGAAATAGCAGTTCATAATTCTTTTAAAACTGAATTTCCTAATATTGAAATACGTGGATGTTTTTTTCATTTATTACAAAACCTGTAAAAACATGGGCAGCTGTAGGATTGATAGCGTAAGTTAAATGTTTTATATTATTTTTTAAATTGAGTATAATATAATAATATATAATAACATATTATGATAAATCAATGTTAGGGCTTAAATTTTTGGAAAATATATGTGAGAATATTATTAATAAATCCCATAATTTGATTTTTAAGTAATAGAATTTAAATTTGGAAAGTTTTAAATTTTAATATATTTTTAAACATTTTATTTATTTAAAAATATATGAAAATTTAGTTTTTGTTTTCATTCCGACTTAATAATTAATACATTAATGACTTGAGTAATTGAGTATACAAATAAAGTATGTTTAATAGTTATTAGTTTAATATAGGTACAATAAGTTGATACATTATAACATTACTCCATTTAGAGACTACAGAAATGATGCAGACTTAAACCTACATGCACGCATGATAACAGCGTTGGCATTTGTCCCGCCAGAGGACGTACCTGCTTATTTTTTAAATCTCAGCATGGCAATTGAAATTATATTTCCATCGTTACAGCCAATAGAGCATGGTAGTCTGACGTCACGATCCGTTATCACATAACAGTGATAAGATCTCTGGTTCCAAACAAACGGCTATTCCTATATTATTTGTACAGTATACTCAGTTTACTGAAATATTTTGAATTAAGTTCCTAGTTCCAACTGATCCAAGAGAGTAGTAAGGAGTAGAAAACGAATACAAATATTTGTGAGATATTAAGTGTAAGCTATGACGGCCGCAAGTTAGATTAAATTGCACTGTGTGCATGAGTTTTTCAAAGAAGAATTAAAATTGTTGAAAAGAGGTGAAAATGCATACGATTCTGGACACGTCAAAAAATGTGTTTTTCTTAATAACAATTTAAAAGGTGTTATTAAAGCTAGCATGAGAGAACAAACATACAACGTTGAAGTAATTTTAAAGTTTTTAAACTTTTAAACTGGTGCGTACTAGGTCACAAACCACAATTTCATACTAAAAAGTTAGATTTATGAATTTGTGTTCTAACATTGAAAGATTTAAAATGTAATACCTACTTAGTTGAAGTTGGTACTTATTTTTTGAAGTTTATACTCATTTTAGGTTTTAAAAACATTCATAATTGAGTATTTTTTTATACTTATATTTAATATATACTTATAAACTAAAACATGACCTAGTACGTTACTTTTTAACCCTACATATCTTAAAGATTCTGAAAACCAAGGTTATGGTTTTAGCACTATGTATTCTACCAGACATAAACATTATCTGTACCAAAATTTTATTTTTGATCAAACTTAGTTTGGATTGATTACAAAATATAATTTCTGTTTGATTATTTGTGAATCAAGGTTACCATAAATTTAACTATGTTGCTAGGCCCAATGTTTTGTGTATATGGTAGAATATACCTATTTCGGTTTACATAGCCAAAACTAGAGAGCCTATATAATAATATATATTATCAGGGCTCGTGAGTCCATGCTCTAAAAAATGCTTTTATAAGTAAACACTTATGCATTAAAATCTGGAAAAATATGCATTGAAATATGCCTTTAAAAGTTCAGAAATATGCATTTATATGTAATAAAAATCTAAAAAAAAAAATTTTATATGTAAATTTTGGAATAACAAAAAATGTCTATTCATATTAGTAAAAATTATATTTTATTTGTTTAATTAATGTAATTCCAAAAATAAATTAAAAATATCTATCAATAATTTAATAAAAAAAACATCAAAACAATTTATTTTTAATAATTTTATGTTGTGAAAACTCCCATATGTTTAAGTTTTATAGTTTATACTGTGCAAATATTAATTATTGCATTTTGATCAAATTTTTGGTAAAAATACTCTTAATATGCAAAATAAAATAGAAAAATGCATAAATATGCCAAATAGTTATAATACATCTGAATACCTATGCAAAATAAAATTTCACATACCTACTCAACCACAGTACCTTTAAATGGATTTCCATGTTACCTATCATTTAATACAACTTAGCAAGATTGATATGCAAATGCATGAACTCACGAGCCCTGTTATATTATAATATTATTATTGTTATTATATTTATTATATAGGATCTCTGTCAAAACTTCTTACTTAATTCTAAAATTCGCATTGAACCATTCATTTTTATTCAGACTTTTTTCTCTGATATTGGTGACATAACTCAAGCTCATTGTAATTGCGCTAGAGGTCAAGTGCGTTGTCATCATATGGCGACATTGTTGATTTATGCTTATAAGAATATTTCTGTAACAAGTGCAAGTAATTTTTTTGTTTTTTTTTTTTTTTGATACTGTACTACTGAAATGAATAATTGAAATTATAGAAACACAATTTACTTATAGGTTGCAGTTGGTCAAAAAAGATTCCTCCTCCTCTAGTGTCTACTAAAACAATTGATGAACTATATCCAGTACCACTAGATAAAGTAGATTATTGTCCTATTAAAATTAATACTAATACTAATACTTTGAAATCTGATGTGTATTCTGAATTAACTAATCTTCACTGCGTAGTTGGTTTAACATGGCTATTATCTCCTGAACCTTCATCAGTACCTTTGGTTGAATTAGAAGACATCTTAAGATCAGAAGAGTTTGAAAAATGTTCTGATAAACAGCAATATTTATTGGAAAAAGTTTCTATAAATAATGATGATATTGTAAAATTGGCTTTAAACACTGTTGGTCAAGATTTAAATTCATTATGGTTAGTGAAAAGAAGGTATAGAATTACAGCCAGTAATTTTGGTCCTGTATTATGTGCTATTAACCGTAATAAATATCCACCATCACTTTTTAAACGGTTAGTAGGCACTTATAAATTAGATGGGGTGAAATCAATCCAATGGGGAAAAGAAAATGAAAAACATGGCATTCTAGAGTTTGAGAAATTTACAGGAAAAGAAGTCTCACCAACTGGGTTATGGTAACACCAATGTGGAATAATTGGTGCATCTCCAGATGGTTTAGTTGGTGATGATTCAATTATTGAAGTCAAGTGTCCATATAAATTTAGAAATGATTTTATTGTGACTGGATTAAAAAATGATTATTCTTATATAATATTTTATGACGAATGTGGTAATATTGGTATTAATTTTCAACATGACTATTATGCTCAAATTCAAGGACAACTTCATATTTTGAACAGAACGGTTTGTTACCTTGTTATTTGGACACTTAAAGATTTAGTTATTGTAGAAATTCAAAAAGATCTTGCTTGGAATGAAAATATCAATAAAATTATAAAGTTTTATTTTGATCAATTTATTCCTTTTCTAAACAAATAACTTTATTTTTTCATAACATGTTCAAACTTATATTATTATTTTTATTATATTAGTTATTACCAAGTCAAGAAACTAGTCAAGAACATTTTTTTTTAAGATATTTATTTAGTTTATTGTTATAACAAAAAGAATATTTTATTTATGTTGAAAATAAATATACATCTGTTTACATGGTTATTTTGATTTGTATAATTAATAGGTAGTGCAACAACATTTTAATCCTCTTTCGGTTGTAAATAAAATATTTCAACTTATTTAATTAGAGGATATTGAAAATTTGACAGAGCACCACACACCTGAAATATTTTTGATGCATATGGCAATAATTTTGGAGGGATAAATTCTAAAATACAGAATCCTTTAATACGATTGATGGCACGTTCCACATGAACCCTTGCTCTGGCAATAGTTAATGTTTTAGTTACTTGATTTGGAGTAAACTGGGGAGCTCCTAAAAATGGTGGAATGTTTACTGAAACTCCATCTGGTAATATATCACTATTAAGAAATCCCTTATCTGCCAATATGAGATCTCCACTGTGAAAAACATCTAAGACTCCACTATGTTTGACTATTTCTTTATCTGAAGTTGATCCAGGATAAAGAGAAGAACAGAATGTTAATACACCATTAGGTGCTACTCCGACCAGGCCTTTTAAAGTATTCCTGTGCTTGTAATTACTATAAGTGAGTTTTTGTAAATCCATTTTGCCAGGTATTGCTGTAAATATTTCGGTACAATCCAGTACCATTCGACAGTTCAAAAAATTATTAAAAACAGTAGGCAGGCATGCCTTATTTTTTTGTTGACTGGGTACATTATCCATGAATGTTTTAAATAGGATAGTGTGGAATATATGAATCCAAGTTAACACTATATTTGTGACAGTTTTACGGCTACATCCAAATCTAACACCTAAATCTATGAAATCAATATTAAGACGAAGTTTCATAAGTGTCATTAAGATTTGATCATTTCTATTTATTCTTTCTACATTCCATCCCAAAAAATAATTTATTTGTAAGCTTTTAAAAATACCAAACAACAAGTCAATGACTGATTTATTTGGCATTCCTGTGTAGTAAGTTATTAAACTGTCTGTATTTCCTATGACACAAAATGAAAAAGGCTGTGATTTTAATAATTTTATCTCATTAGTTAACTTCTCAATCTCCATCTTCAAAAGATAATTTTCTGAGTCATTTTGGACTTTTGAAACATTTGAGTTATCCAAATTTAGATTTGATCTGGTACTAGAAACATTTGTATTAATATTTGATGTTATTTCTTCATTCATGTCATCAAGATCAATTTGTGTTTGTTCAGGTACATTAATATTAATCTAAAAAAAAGAAAATAGATAAACAATAGGTTACAAATAATGTTTGACTTCAAATTAATTATAATGCTACACAAGGACTTATATTTTAAAAAAGTGACAAATTTTAGTAAAAAGAACTGACTTCATTTTTCTGTTAAAATATATTTACTTTTTAATTGAAAATATTTAAATGATAAGTCTTCTTAAACCCATTGACTCTCAACAAATAATACTTATATAATATAATCAATGTTATTACGTAATAGTAATTATGTATGGCATATTTTAATATGAAATACATTAAAAGTGAATTAAATATCTTACATCCAAATTATCCAATACTACATCATGAGTACGACGTCTTTTTCTTTTTTCCGGGGATTCAAATTTAAATATTTTTTCCTTATTCCAGCTGAAAATTGAAGGTCCTTTGGCATTGTTACCATCAATAAAATGACAGCTGCAAACACGGGAATTATTGCTAGGACCCTTATCAGCTCTCCTAATACACAATTTAAATACAAAAATTATTAACAGTTTATTTTGAAAATACTTGTATTATTTATAATAATATAACATCTTAAAATCATACAATATTAAAAAAAAATAGTTAAAATAACATCATAATTTTTTTCAGGAGAGTAGGAGACAAAGTATTATTAAAACTTATTCACAATTTATAATTAAATTCAATTTATGTTACACCTACCTTATATTATCCAACCACTTTTTTTTTACATTTTGATCTTTAGGGAATCTAAAAAACCTGCAGGTTTCTCTTTCACTATAGTGATTACATTTTGGCACAAAACAATTAACCATGATGATCACTGATACTAAAATAAAACAAGTAACAACAATTTTGAATTTACTATGAAAATGTAGTATGAATTCCAACAAATATGCGTTTACTTTAGGAACACCGAACAATATAATGATTTAAAAATATCAAATTGAAATAAATTATAGTTATTATTGTTAAAATAAGCTAGTAGAAGATAAAACTATACAAACTGTATCTTAAGACTGCTTAATTTCAAGAAAAAAAAACTTTTTATTGACAAGTTATATTTTTTCAATGTACAAAGATGTTTGTTTGGAACCAGTCAGTCTTATCACTAACTGATAATAGTATCACGACTACCATAGTCTATCCTTGATTGGCTGGAAACGTACTATATAGGAATGATGAGAAGGGAAGGAGTTAGGAGAACACCAGCTTTTCCTATTCCAACCTGGAATTTATATAACAGAGTGTTAGCAGGACAAATGGTATGTAACATAGTTGAATCCTTTCTTTTTTTCCCTCATTTTTTGTTATATGCAATTGGAACTAATTAAATTTGAAGATGGGAACCCATATTGTTTATAGTATTAAGTACTTACCTACATAACATTTCATTAATAAAAAGGTGCAGATTATCTGTGGGGAGGGGTGGTAAGTACTAAGTTGATGACACCTTTGTATATTAATAATAATTACCTACAGATTTATCATATTTTATCCATCATCATTCATTACCTAATTGTTTTTTTTTTCATAACATAATAATTATTCTGGTATGCCACCCATTCTTTAAAAATATTGTATTGGACCAGTAAAAAAAATTACTACCTAGTAAATCTAATAATATATCTAACTGCATTGAATACTTTTTTACATTTTTCCTTGTACCTATATTGAATATAAATACCCAAACAAATCCATTCCTAATACCTCGTAAGTCCTAATTCTTTCAACCAAATTGTTAACTTTAATTAATTACCTACAATAAATATTAATATTGAGTTAAGTGAACAAGATGAACATTAAAAACAATTTTTAAATATATGTATTTTACTCTTTACTCACCCCAATGAGATGGGCACAGAACAAGATGGATAAGTGGTTTGCACTTAGGTCTATATACCTAGGTACCTAATATTGACTTATATGTAATATGAATAACAATAATATCACAGAACTATGATACACATTTAATCTTTTTACATTATTATTGAAAAAACAATTATTTTCAGTACCTATAAGGATACAACAGTGTATAAGGGCATAAGGCAATAAGTGGCTTTAAACTAACTTAATATGCAAATATCATTTACTTTAAAGTTTTAATATTAATAACAACTGGTGTTATATGTAACTAAAAATTAGTCCATGTCTATTATCTATAAACAGTTTTTTTGAGTTGGTTTACTAATAGTAAAAATGACACTCAACCTTTTATATTATAAGAATCAAAACAATAAAGGTTAACATGAAATTACTGTACACTAATTTAACCAGGCACGGATCCAGGGCAAAGATCTGGGGGGGCCCCAACAATTTTTTTACAACAAAAATACAATTATAATAAATTATTATCCTTTATTCTTAATTTAACAATTTTGTTATAATAGTAGGCATCAATGTGATAAATAAAATATTATTTATATATTAAATACCCTTGTTGTCTTGGTTCAAATCTTATTTGTCAGACAGAGTCCAATGGGTAAAAGTGTTCGGATGCAAATCATCCATCTCAAAGGTCTCTTCTGGAGTTCCTCAAGGAGGACATTTATCTCCAATATTGTTTTCTTTGTATGTAAATGGCATCAAGGAAATTGTCAAAAACTGTGAACTTCTCATGTTCGCTGACGACTTGAAGCTCTTTAGGAAGATTGATAACTTATCTGACTGCTCTACGCTCCAGAATGATCTCAACAACCTGGTCTCCTGGTTTAATAATATTGGTCTTCAGTTTAATGTAAATAAATGTCATTCCATGTCATTTTTAAGACACCGCTCCCCTATTAACTATACTTACTTCATCAATGGTTCAAGTGTAACATCGGTTTGTAGTAAGAAAGACCTAGGTATTATCTTTAATTCCGATCTCAATTTTCACTCCCACACTGAAATGATATGCTGCAAAGCCTTAAAAACGCTTGGGTTTGTAATGCGCATATCAAAGGAGTTCAATCTATCTTCTTCATTAAAAACTTTATACTGCTCATTGGTCCGTTCACTTTTAGAGTATGCATCGGTCCTATGGGACCCTTATACGGTATCTGACTCATGTCAATTAGAACGTGTTCAGAGACGGTTCTTATCTTGCGCAGCTTTTGTCTTAAAAATAAATCATCCTCCCCATGACTATTTCTTAGTTATGCAGGAACTCAGCCTCATTTCACTGGCCGACAGGCGAGTTAACTCTAACATAGAGTTTCTGAATAAACTGGTTGATGGTCGTATAGATGCTCCCTCACTTCTCTCGATAGTCATTTTTATTGATTATAAATGAATTAAACATATTTTAACAAATTCATTTTTAAAAAAAATACCTTGTAAGTGTAAATCATCTGTATTATTTGATCCCGATGATAGCAGAGGAAAAAATCTTTTACTTGCTTCAAGTATTTTTACACTCAAAGTATTGTTGTCTTTTCCACGAAATACTTTAGGGATTAACAGTCTTAAATTAAATGCACCAATTACATCTGGACAGAAACGAGTATTCATATCCCCAAGAACACCTTCTAATAATGGTATATAAATTGACCAGCGATAATAATCCTCTGCATTTTGAGTAGGGTAATTGGCTCTATTCATCTGTGTTTTGGATATACGTGGTAATTGTATATCAAATCCTAAACTTTTAGCCATATTAGAAGATTCAATAAAAATATCTTTAAAAACATTATGTGAATTGGTTCGGTTCTCGTTTAACACTTATTTAACTCCTTGAATAACAAAATTTGCACTTTCCAAATCAAGTGATGTAGATTGCAGTATACGACTAACTGGAAGTGTCCATTTGAGTACATCAATGAGTGAATAAAGTGAAATAATAAATGAACTATTACATATAGATAATTCAAGTGTATTTGCTTTAGTTGAAGAATTTTTATCAGTCCATAACTTAATATCAGCAAGAGCTTCTAAAATCTGAAATTAAATTTTAAACAATTGAGCTGTTTCAATGTTTTATAAAATACAATTTTATAATTATTAATTTATCATAATTACTTTTGGGAGAGTTGATTTGAACTGTAATATGCCATCATGTTGTTCAATCCATCTAGTTTGACATAATCCAGATAAACTTTTTCCTAATTTATTTTTAAGTATAGCAGTCCTTTTAGCTGATCCATTAAAAAAAGCTACTATTTCCTTCAAACAACCAACCGTATTGCGAATTGAGACCACTTTTGATGACTGAGCCAGTGGGTTATTTAGTGCATGATTAAAACATGGGCACCGAACTGCGTAAAAACATTCTTTTAAAATTGTAGTGACTGCTCCAATACTTTTTGATGTCATAACTGCACATCCATCTGTACCGATGCCAACACAGTTTTTCACATTCAAATGAAATTGTTTTAAAATGTTCAGTACTATATTTCCTAGAGCTTGACCAGTAAGTTTTGTTTCACCAGATGACATAATGTCTTCTTCAAGGATAGATTGATAAGCATCAACAAAAGTTAAAAACTTTTCATTTATTTTATTGTTTAAAACGTATCTTATGGATAGACTAAGCTGTTCTCTATGGGCTATGTCAGTAGTTTCATCAAATATCACTGCATAAAACTTTGCTTCGTTAATATCTTTAATAATTTGTAACTGAATTTCTTCGCCTATACAATTAAGGAGCTCATTTTGAGCAGTCTTACTTATATAAGTAGCCCGAGATGATGTAGTATCAAGATGATTTTTCAACTTTTGATCTCCTGAATTTATTTTAAACTTTAATAATTCTCTGAAGTTACCTGGATTTGCTACTAATGAATTTGAAGTATCATTAATTAATAACGAACCATCATCAACAGCTCCTCTAAGGGCAATGTTCTGTCGTCCACATAGTATTAATGTTTCAATGATAGGTTTGATTCTCTCTCGGTTCTCGTTTATTTGCTTTAATCTTTGTAAATAAACTTGATTAATTATACTAAAACTTGGATCTCGGTATGATTTTAAAAATGCATTCCCTGACAAAACCGATTCCAAATGGTACTTATTGAGAGAATGGACAGTTAAACATCCGTCTTTACCAGTTAGCTTAGAAAATTTAAGTAATGGAGTTTTGACTAATGTTTTAAGTGTCACATTACTTTTGGTTGCAGGTGCAAATAAAAGACAATATTTGCAATACAAACCTTTGCTAACATCTGACATAACAAGCCAATGGAACATATTTAAATGATTGAAGTTTACACTTCTTTTTTTTTCTTTTCCATTGCGCATTTGAATTGAATATGGAAATATGTAATTGTTTGGAGGTCAATAGAGCATGTTTGGTGTTATCATCAATAATATTTATGTTAACAAAGTTCCCAATGTCTGGACTATGAAAAATAGTTTCAGTTGATACAGTAACCTGGGAAGCTGAGCTTGAATGTGAACTTACTATATGCTGAAAAAAAAGGAAAAATATATGTAAATTAATCATATAGTAAAATACTACTAAATAATTTTTATTTCTTAATTTACAATATTTTATTAGTTAATTAAAATAAAAACCATGAAGAACAAATATAAATATATTTTTCTATTACCTCAATGACAGGATCAACATGAATGTAATTATCAGTCTCAACTTCCTTATTTTTAAATTCTGATGGTGTTAGATCATCCTCTAATTCTTCAATTGAAGATTTACATTTTTCCTGTTTAAGTATTAATAAATTATAATACAACAAATTACTATTCTTTTTAAAGCTATAATATTATTATTTATCTATGACCAGGTTAGTAGTCAACTAATATTTTATTAGTTAATTAAAAATTAAAACCATGAAGAATAAAGAAAATATATTTTTAACTGATTGTATATATTCCCAGAGTTGTAAACTTAATTGAACCTATTAAATTGCTATGATCATTGTGTAAAAAATACACAAATGAGACATGAGTATCATTATAAGTTTTAACTAATACAAAAATATAAATATATTTATCTATTACCTCAATGGCAGGCTCAACATGAATGTAATTATCAGTCTCAACTTCCTTATTTTTAAATTCTAATGCTGTTGGATCATCCACTAATTCTTCAATTGAAGATTTACATTTTTCCTGTTTAAGTATTAATAAATTATAATACAACCAATTACTATTTTTTTTAAAGTTTTAATATTATTATTTATCCATGACCAGGTTGGTGGTCACTAATTTTAAAATATACATACCAGATTCACAAAATACGAAGTAATAGCACGAGCCTTTTTCTTAGGCGGTTCTGACATATCAAAATATTATGTTGAACTCGTTGAAGTTTAATAGTTAAACCAAAATCAAAAACACAAAACGGTTAAACGAGTTAAACTGCGACAGTGGACAATAGTCATGAAGAATAGAATAACTTTTCGAATTCGACTTAGTATAATCAATGATCAATGACCAATGTAGTTAGTAAAATATACTTATCATAATAACACAGTTCTAACCATACCATCAATATATTTTGATTGTCCTGGGACAAACTTTGGTGGTGATGTGGCGCACTCTTGTGGTGTTATCAATTAACACGTAATTGTAAAATTACAATATTGGAATCACTGTCCACCATGAACTAAGATAGTAGATATTACGTATAATAATATTAAATAATATATTATATTATCAGACATAATAATATAATATATTATGTGATTTTAAATATAGTAATATCAGGATCTGTAGAATTATAAAAAAATATGTCTTAAATATGTCTGGGGGGGCCTAGGCCCCTAGGCCCCCCCCTGGATCCGTCCCTGAATTTAACTAAAATGCATGAATATGTTACAATTGATGTATAATCTCACAATAACACTAATTTAGTCCATAGTAAGAATCTACACCCCATATTGGTTGTTTTGAAACAAACTAGTATTAACAGTATTAACTCATTAAGACATTTTTTGAATGTATGTACTACCTATATAATGTACTTTTACATAAAAGTATAATTATATAAAATATTCTTTTAAACAATATAAGCTGTTGGATGACAAAGGCACTATTTCTGTTCCAGTAGTGTCATCTCCAAAAATACAACAGGTGTTCACTTAAAAATTATTACCACCTATCACTATTTTGATTAACCACAAAAAAACTCATACAGTTTATTATATGGGTAGGCAGGTAGCTATTCCTAATCAACATGTCGCCAACATCGACCTGTGTAGTGCGTATTTACTATTATACACTTACTAATACTATAATGTATCTGATAGGTAATATATAACACAATAAATTGCATTTATACACATGCCATATAGGGAGTTTTGAGCACAGAGAACTGAGCTTTAAATCCCAATTTGTTAAAAAAAAATGTCAATGGTGAGTTTATACTGAATATCTGAGATACAACAGCTACAACCTACTCAATTATGAAAAGGGTGCTGAGCACCTTTTTAGATATGTGAATATGTGATAGCGGCCATTGCTGTGCCCTCTGATGAGAATCGTTTTTTTTTTCAAGAGGATGATTGTTATTGATTTCAAATTTAACACATCCATATTCAAATCCTTATTGGTAACCTATACTATATGACTGGAGTCTGGAAACCAAAACAGTATATTGTCATTCCCAGAAAATGAATCTCCTATGTAAAAAAACACTGGTTTTCAGTAGCAAACATACACTATTTAAAATTAACTATTATTAGGTACCTACATTAATTTAATAAATAGTATCCAAGAAATAAAACCATTTTTATTTTATATTCCATCATAGTATAATACATTATATTTATAAAGATATTTAAAATCTCAATTAAAAAAATTTGTCGCAGGAAATGTTTTCATCTTCAAGGTTTTATAGGAGATTTTAGGTTTTAAAAATACAGCATATTATTTATATTTTATAATACTTATAGTATATTAGTATGTCACAATAACTATAACTAATTTAAAATTATATTAACAGTTAATTAAATAAAATAAATGTATACCTACTATTACTTCAGTCTTTTTAAATGAATAACAAATGTATTTAAAATATTTTTAATACATGAACTAAAAAGTACATTATTATATTATTATAATTTTAATGATAATATTATAAAAATTTGGGGGGGGGGGGTGAATCCTTGACACCCCCCACACATGTATACTGGCTTACCCAAACCCCTGAAAAATGATTGCGAAAAGACCACGGTGAATAAACCGCGGCGAAACGAGTGTGGCGAATAAACCGGCGGCGAAACGATTGGTGGCGAATAGTAAGGCGGCGAAACGATCGCGGCGAAATGAACAGCGGCAAAATGACCGAGTCCGCGGATTAATAGTAATAATATCAATAATAGTAATATCGAGTGCGTGTCGCGTGACCATGAGCGGCGTGTGACGATAGATATATGACTACGTATATGAATAATCCTAAAATAATATAGTTTAGATTTGTGCTGTTATGTTAAATAACACCACAAATGTACAATATAGATATATGGGAACTTCCGGCGCGTGCAAGCGTGTGAATCACGTTAGGCTTAACCGCAGGACCATATATGGTCTTAGAAATTATGGAAGGGATAAGGGACAGAGATCCATCGAGGAGAGCTGGTGGACAAGCGTTCATCAGACGAGCAACCAGCCTCAACTTGAACTGTCACTAATTACTCACTAGTCACATCTCGCTTAAGTCATTAATTGGACTTAGAATATTTTCCATAATAACTGTTTTACACAAAATAAATACAATTATTACCATCAAAGAGGAGTTGTTCAATTTATATTTCCATTTCTACGGGTAAAGCGGATTAGCATGTTACATTCCTATTTATGTATATAATAGAAACCGTTTATAATGAAATTCAAGGGTCTAGTTAAAGTTAATCATAATAACTGATTGTCATTATAACTAAAACTATAAAATTATATATCTATAATAACTTGATTATAATATATTTCTGTTATATTAGTTTATACTTAATTTATATAAAAATCATATAAGTACCTAATATCTTTTTTTAAATTTTTTTAAAATATTAATAATACCTATTTAGTATTATCAGTTTTTATATATTTGCCTTTGATAAACATTAACTATAGTTATATGAAAGATTTTCCTAATATAATCAATAATTACCGTCATAATATCCGTATAGTCATTATACAGACGTTATAATAATCTATATGAATTAGTATAATATACTATAAAAAACTCTTATATTGTATATTATACAATATAAGAGTTTTGTTAGGACCTTTAATCTAATATCATTACACCCGATATGTCAATACAATCGATACCTATGTCATTATAAATGGTTTCTACTGTATATATTATAATACGTATATTATGTATATCTAATAAAATATAGTACTCACTAAATTTATCGTAAAATATTAAAGACCTCTTGTATTCCGCACTATATCGTAGTCGTCACCGTCACTGTTGTCGTCGTCGTCGTTCTTTTCGTACTTGGCCACACAATAGTCGTCTAGAGTACTCGTTCTTGATTGTATGACTGCGAGTAGTAGACGAGTGATATCGAATATACTGATACAGTTCGTATTTATGCGATTGAAAATACCCTACCCTGATTATCAGTCATGCAAATATACATGACCCTGGAGGTGTATGGAGATGGTCAGCGACGCTTCGTGTCATTAAAGCACTCAACTCTCTCTCATTAAGAATGATAATATACTTTCCATCATTAGAACAACAACAACAACAACAACGGTCTCGCAACCTTTATCATCATAGTGTTAATAGTGTATTATATGGACTAAATGGATAATATTGAGCAATTAATACATATGTATGTGATATATCATAAAAATTATTTCGTTAGTGAGAATCAGTTATATAGTATCGGATCAATTGTAATAGATATGATAATAATATACTAAATAGACCCCACATTTTAACTGTGAAAACATATTTAAATTCGAAAATTTGATTATAAAATGGTAATTCAGTTATTGTATATTCCTCAGTATATTTCTACGTAATATAACACTTAAAGTTTAATATTTTTACTAACAGAATAGTTAATAAATATCACGTTAAGATATGAGATTTAATTTGAGGAGATGCGTATAATTTTATCCAACAGACATATCCGTATATCGAATCAATACAGACTGGGAGAAAATAGTATGTAATTTTTTAATTTAATTTTATTTCTTGATAGGAAATAATTCTATTCCTGTAATTAATGGTTTATAACTACTTATATAGTTAGAAGAATTGACGGGTTCCAGTGTGCCACCACTCGGGACATTTCAACGTGTAGGAAAATCATGAATTCTTCGTCAGCTAGTCGGAAGAAAAGTACCTCCATAATATATGATCTAAAAATCTATAAACGTGTTATGGTAAACTATTTTATGTCTAAGAGGAGGGAACTATATCATTATAATAATTTCCCCTTAATTTTATATCAGGAGTGGTATGTCGACGAGTAACCCTTGTCTAATCTGCAGGCTGTACATAGGCGCTTTTTATTTGGGGGCTAAAGGAGGCTTAGCCCATCAAATATTTATCCAGCTTCTACATAATAGGTAGTAGGTACAAATATAAATTAAAAAGTAAGCCATGACTTACAAATTGTTTATTTCATCGAACATTACACTATAGTTAAGTTAATAATCATGTAAGTAAGTATATAGTTATTTAATATTTTTTCTTTTTTTTAAAGATGTAACATATACATCAGTAGATTTTCTGAAATCAGAGATGTTTGTTGCCAAAAACTGTCTGATTAAAGTTAAAGAGAATTTTGATATCGATGATATTAAACAAGTAGTCTCTGAACTATTGAAGATGTGTACCCAAATCCATACAAATTACAACAGGTAGATTTCACAATAGGTACCTGTCAGTTCGACAACATGCGAAAGTTCGTTTTCATGAATGTGGAGATTAAAAACTTGGCAGAGAGCCACGATGAAACAAAATCGATTTTCAAATTTATCTATAATAAATATTGAAAGAGATGTAACAAATAGTTTGAAGACAAAAACAATTATTGAACAATTTGCTTTATAGCTAATAGAAAATTTGTATTGACTTTATATTGAAAATTAAATTAATTTAAATATAAAAATATTTTCTTATCATATGAATTTATTTTGTATTGTCAGTAGCCATCTGGTTTATTAGTTATGAGGGTGCGGGGGCATAGCTTTTTTGGCTCTGTGTAACTTATACAATCCTAGCCCCCCCACCAAAAAAAAATTGACCCTAGTTGCGCCTATGAGGCTGTAGCTCGCTTGCCATTAGTAAAATTGTTTTTGAGACAGACGTGGGCTTAAAAAAGGTAATGCCGTGCAGAGCAGCATAGTAGCATAGCACAGAATTACCTTGTTGCATATCCTTCAAAAGAACAAAAGTTTTTCCTAATGGACAAGTATATGTTAAAGTCATAGGACGTTGCTCTGTTTGTGAATCATACTTTGAAGGATTTGTATCTCAAAGACCAGCAGAAAATGCCAAGTAATACATTTATTGTTAATTATTATAGGTAATTTCAGTTATTAATAGTTTATTAAAAAAATATCAGGGTTCTTATGTATTGTACATATAAAGGACATTTTCATGAACAGCACAAGGCTAAAAAGAGACGAATAATTGGCCCAGCAAAAGATAGAGCAGTTTCATCTCTTTCTGAAAACGGAATGTCAAGTGAAATATATAGGGAATTAGAAGCTAATCGTGTTATGAAAATAGGTAGGTGCCTATTGCAAAATTATTTAAAATATTAATTAATTAACCTACAGGGCTTGCATTTGTTAAAAAAATTGGTTTTAAGCGATGTACAATTTAAACGTTATACAATTTTTGCGTTTGTCATTATTTAAAATTAAAACGTTCTGCTACAACTTTTACTTTTATCGTTTATCGTTTATAATATATAACACGGTGATGGTACGGATACGTATTTATATATAAAAAATAATCACGTGGAATTAATATTTCTACGAATTCAATAATATTATAATTATTTAAGTAAATGGATATTTTTATTTTTAATTTTTAGTTATTTTTCGCTTACTTAATAATGTTTTACAAATTCGATTTTGAGTTATGTTTAGTTTAATGATTTACTATATATTTTGTTGATCGTTATGTTTTATTTGTGATATTTAATTATTTTTATTTACAGTTTTCCGTTTCAATTACATTGTCAAATTTAAATCGTTTTTTTGTCATATATAACGTTATAATCATAACGTTATTATAATGTTTGCAATCCCTGGACTTATAATATGTCTTATTAATTATTATGTTTGTTTTAAGTATAATTATCAAAATTATAAATTGTTTTAAATTTTCAAAAGGTTTTAGTTATAATTGTATACATTTTTTCATATGGGTTCTGGTTAGTTATTGGTTGTTATTAAAGATTATGCCGTTCCGGATTAAAGGGGGCCAAGGGGGGCACGGTCCCGGGGCCCATCTTTATCACCAAAATATATTTTTTAAACGCGTCCACCACAGTTTTCAAAAAAAAAATATTTAAGTAGGTAGGTATAGTAGGTAAATTATTATTAATAATTATAAAATAAATATGTTCTCAATTTTATACCACCAAAAATTACTATAAATAATGAACTATGTTTGCCAATAATTGTGTTTTGTTTATTTGTTTGTTTTTTTTTTTTTTTTGAACATTTTAGATTAGGTACCAATTTAACTATTTAAGTATATAGAAGGTAGTTATAAGAAATATTATTTAGCTATTGTAAATTAGGTATTTCAATTAAAAGTATTAATGCATACTAGTGATGATCAAAACAAGACCAAGACCAATTTTGATCGTCACTTATGCATACTTTAGAAGACCATAGTTAATAACTTAGCTAACCAAAATTGATCATTTGACTGTCAAAATGTTTAGAAAAAAAGCTTCAGTGGAATCCATAAAAAAACATAGTGGTTACCATTTGAAAAAATAAAGTCGATTTTATTATTGGTACAACTGCGTGTTTAAAAATGTTGAATATGTTATAAAATAAATTGACTGTTAAAAATAAAGAAATGATTGTCTTTTTTTGTTTTAACGAAATTCCATATCATCGATCCATACCTAATTGTTAAAAAAAAACAAGCATACAATGACATAAGATACACCCTTTATATTTTTTTATTTTTGTATAGTAACAAATTATACAATAATATAAAATCATTAATATGTAATGATACAATTATTTTGAAGTTAAAGTTGAAAGGGGGCCCACTGATGTATGGTGTCCCGGGGCCCAATTGATCCTTAATCCGGGCTTGTCCGGAACCAGTACTTTTTGCTTCAATTACAATTCATTAGTTCTATATCCCAATACATGTAATAGGTAATTAATGGATACAATATATATACAGTGGCGCTGAACACGTAGGGCAAGTGGGGTAAATACCCCAGAACTTTTTTAGGGGGTGGGTGGTTCGTGAGTGACCGCTTTTATTATATAATATAGTTGTAATTTTGTAAATACTAAATTGTTTACAGACAACAAATAAGCAAGAGTGCAAGACTCAGCTATAGTCGAGAGACAGCTTATACTGTAATCAGTATGCGCTATAGGCAGTAGGCACTAATCACTAATAAATAAGCAATGACCAATATTAATATCTGTACAGTGTACACTACACGTTAAAGGAACAAGTCTACACACGCATAGGAGTATAACCCGGCACCGACGCATGATAAGTGATAACCAGTCAACCATTCTACCTCCACCCGCCTCGCCATAACACATAATGCCCGGTGTTGGGGCTGCACGTTCTGTCGTAAAATATTATTATGATTGCCCAGTGCCTACGTCCGTCTCACACCAAACGATCTATTAATAAACATTAATTTCTGGAAAATTTTGATTATAGTCGATTAAAATGTGTAATGCTTATCTAAACAGCAACGGCCAATGAAAACCACCACCGAAATCCACAAAATGTCTTATTATTTCAATTACCTAATTTATTTCATTTCTCATTTTAGTGAATGTTGTTCATTCCCTACTATATCTTCGTAAAATAAACATATTTATGTGACTAAGAGCCGTTTTATCAATCACCAGTTAAATGTCTAGTTAACTAATCTCAGTTAATTACTAACTGTAGATTAAAAATATTATGATTTTATCAAATATCTTTATACTAAGATTAACTATTCTAGCGTATAACAAACCGAAGATTAATTAACTACCGAAATGCATTGATTGATGTTAGTCACATCAGTAAAATGAAAATGTTTCTAACTTCTATCAATGAATTGTTATCTTTTATCATGATATATTTATTTTGAGTGATACGCTTACATTATCTGACATATTTTTTTCCGATCTTTTGACGTTTTCAGTTAACAGTTTTTCACTTTTAAAAATATAGAATATTAGATTACTATTTGTCGTGTTGTATTTGTTAGTTTTGAGTACAATTTTATTACTATGAGTTTATTAAAAATTAAACGTGAACGCTCCACAAATTTTATTGACGGCGAACTGCAACTTCTTGTCGACCTGGTGGCTAGTCAAAAACATATTTTGGAAAACAAAAAAACAGATGCCGTAACAGCCAACCTAAAGAATAAAACTTGGGAAGCATTAGCAAATAAATTTAATTGCAAAAGCCTAAATGGATATCGTAGTCCAAAATGTTTGAAATCAAAATATGAAAATTTAAAAAAAAATGTAAAAATCAAGTTGCGAGATGTGAAATCAAAACCCTGTGTAACAGGAGGAGGACCTCCAATTCCATTAAAAGCACTCAGCAAATTGTCCCCTATGGAAGAACAACTAAGATCTTTGAACCCTCTAGCTTTTAGTGGTAAAGTGTCAGCATTTGACAGTGACAGAATTGAAGATCAAAATACATACAGTCATGAAATGCTTGTACAGGATTATGAGAAAACTGACAGTAATGTAAGTAATTAATATTTTGATTGATTCGTACATTATTATTATTACAAATATTGTTAATGAATTTCAATTATAGTGTATGGATGAAAACATTCTAGAATTTGATTGTCAAGAAAATAATACTGATGTTAGTTAAATTTGTAAAATACTTATCTGCTTTTTAATTGGATTAATACATTTGTATACCTAATAAATTGTTTATTATAAATCATCAAGGGATTTCAAGAGTCATTTGTCCATACTTCTGAAAAAGATTTTGATGTTGGTGAAGATTGGACAGATTATACACCAGCAAAATTGAGAACGCCGATTTCTCCAGAGCTATCATCTACAACACACCAGAAAAGCTTAGACACTCTGTATTCACCTAATATATTTGCTATCTCTGATGCTGGTTCAGATGATGAGTTAAAAAGTGAGAAAATAAATATATATATATATATATTATTATTATACTATATATTATAATTTATATTATATTCTTGCTACTTTAATGTTAAATATAGTAAGAAACCCTCAAGAAAATCTGAAATCTAAAAAATGTTCTGCTTATGCAAAAAAACAAACAAGGTTAGTTGGTTGAACATTTTTAAAACCAAAATCACAAGAATGATACACATATTAGTCAGATAACTATGTTCTTATATTAAACACTAATCGAATACAGGATTAAATATGTAATTACAGTAAATAGTGTACTATTATTATGATTTGAGTTTCTTACATAATTTAAAATATATTTCTGAAAAATGCTTGATAATATTAATTACCTAGCTTGTTCATTAAATTTGTGTTATTTGAATTTATATTGTATACGGTTTGTCCCTCTAGCATTATTAATACTAATAAAGATTGGTCATACGCAGCCAAAACTAAAACTAAACTTATGCAATTAAAAATAATGCTGTTGGAAGAAGAACTTATTTTTAAAAGAAAAGAAAACGAATTGAAATTAAAAATTTTGGCTGCTGAATTGGCATCCAAAGAAACTTAAGTTATTTAAGAAAATTGAATTTATCTTAATGTTATAATGCAAAAGAAAATATTGTTCATGTTAATTTTTTATAGTTAAAATAGTAAATCAATTTATGTCATTAAAAAATAAAAGACTGTTTATGTTAATTAATTTTATATTGTTCATGTTGATTAGTTAATTTTATAGTTAGAATAATAAGTCACCTTATGTTATTAAAAAAAAAAAGACTGTTTATGTTAATTAATTTTATATTGTTCATGTTGTTTACGTTAATTTTATAGTTAAAATAATAAAGTCAGTTATAATATGTCAGTTTATAATGTGTATATATATAGATTATATTTATATATCAATTTATAGTAACAAAGAAAAGTGAATTTAAAAAGAAAAGACTGATTATATATTATAATAAAAAAAATAATTTTATAATAAATGATTAAAACTATTGAAACTATTTATGTACAGTTTACATTGTACACATAATTTAAGAATGTTAAATGTTGACAGCAGTCAGATTGTTAAAATATATTGTAATAAAAAATTTTTAATTTAATATATTATTATATTTTTAGTAGTTAAATACAAATATTTAATGATAATAAAGTCATAACCTCATCATGGAATTATATCAAAATACATTTAAAACTAATTTTACAATTAAATCTAGTTGTAGATTATACACTTAACACATTTCACCAAAGTGTCTATTAATCAAATTCTTTCTTGTTCTATCATTTGCATTATTTCTAATATTATCGTTAGTCACATTATTGTTGACAGAATTTACTAAATTGATTTGTTCTTGAATTTCATTTGTAGTAACTGGTATTTTTTCTTTTTGTAGAATAGCAATATTATGTAATACAGCAGTTGCTACAATAATTGCTTCTACTTTGCTTAAATCCAAACGAATCCCTAATGATAATACCGGAAATCTCCTTTTCCAAACTCCATAGGATCGTTCAACAACATTTCTAGTTCGAATTTGGGACTCTTGGTATAAATTTTCTGCTCTTGTGAGTGGATTTAATAGAGGTGTCAATAAGTAATTTTTCACTGCATATCCACCATCACCAACAATCAGACCATTTCCAAATTCGTTTGCTTCTAGACGTCTATAGATGGAAGAATTGAAAAATATAGTTGAATCGTGTGACGAACCAGGCCAGCGTGCAACTATATCTCGTATCATTAATTGATCGTCCGATATGGTTTGTACATTAATGGAAAAAAAGTTTTTCCTGTTTCTGTAATTCTCTGCATTATCGCCACCTGGTGATGATATTTTAACATGTGTACAATCAATGGCTCCGATACACCGTGGAAATTTGGCTTTCAAATGAAATCTTGTCTGAAGATCTGAAATTTCATTAGCATTGCTGGGCATGTTTATAAAACGTGGTCTTAGGCTTGCTAGAGCAATATTCATTTTTTTTATTATATTTGATGCAGTTGAGTAATGAATACCAAATAATTCACCAACATTTATCAAAAATGAGTCTGAAGCATAAAACCTCAGTGTTAATAACAATTGTTGTTCAGCAGTGACAGCACGATTTCTGTATAGGTATTGTTGCCGCTGTCAGCTCTCATTAATATCAAATAAGTTGTGCCTTCACGACTGAATCATATATATATGCTTATAGAATATAAAATGAAAAAAAACAATGTGTGTTGGCAGTTCTGTAATTTTTTATTGAGCAATGATAATAATAATTTGTTTTTCTTTTAATTAAATAAATAAAATAATAAATTGCCAGGCAGGTTTCTAATAATTAAGTATGATATAAATATAATATGTAGCCTCTTGGCTTTTAACAATAATACAATAATTCAAATAATACAAATAATAATAATACAAAGTTTCTGACTAGAATATGAATGACTAATATAATAAATAATAATATGCAGCTCGTCAGCTGATTACCTTTAGAACTCAAGACGAATAAATCACAGTGTACATGCAAATCACAAATGGCAAAAATTCACGTGCTTCTGTAAGTATCTCTTTGAACGCCCTGAATTGGGGAATAATATTAATGAAAGAACTAAAACAAATGACTGAACGATACTTACAGAAGGCAATTCACAGATGATGTACACAAAATGATTAACTGAATGATGATTGATGAATGTATTGTATAGAATGAAATTGAATGTCTATGACTCTATGTATTCTATTTTAAAAAATGAATTAAAATACTGACGACTGACTAAAACAGAACAACCGTGCACCTCGGAGGTCGTGTAAAAAAGGGACGAGTTTTACATTAACGGACATACAAAATGCAACGAGAACTGTACGAATGGGCTTTCAGTGTCACCACACTAAAACAATTAAACATGAAAAAACTAATAACTTTGTGACACTGAAAGCATGACTTGACGAGAAAAAACTTTGAACGAATAATATGACTTTTGAAAACATAAATTGATAACGGTCACGCAGCTGGCCGTTCGCACACGGAAACATGATAAGAATTTATTTGATTACGGCTGCAGCTGCGGACCGCACCGTTGCATGCACATGAAGAAAAAATGATAACAGAAAACAAAATGAAAATGACAATCTTAAACATGAACATTGAACAGGTATGGATAATAAAAGTATAAAATTTGAATTAGAAATTGAGGAACATAAAACTACTTTTACTAAGCTACATGTAAAATTAGTAATTACAGGAAAAAAATGTAAAAGTAAGTAATTTTTAGTAAAAATGTCGTATGCTGTAGTAATAATTCGAAATTTTAGATTCTGAACGAATGTATTGATTTTACTATGAAGTGTATTTTTTTTTGTGTCTGTCATCGCCTTTTGGTGCAATAAGAATGCCTAGATTTGTAACTTTAAAAATTATTTCCAATACCTAGCGGCTAGCAAAGTGAATGTAGGTAATGGGTACTTTAAGGTGTCAAATTGTGTTTATTAAACTAATAAAAACTATTGTATTAATAATAGAAAACTATAATTACTGTCATTATAATTTGAATAATAAAAAAGTGAGCAATTGGGTGTCGCTCTGCTGTACATTAGGTTACAAGTTGATCACTGTAATGGATTGTGTTAAATTTGAATTCAATGATAAGAAAAACGATTCCAAGCAAAGACAGCCAGTCAGTCTATACTAAAGTATAATTTGATGATATTATTGTGAATAAAATAAATAATATACTTATATTGTATAATATATTATAGGTAACCTATTTGGCTATTTACGTGGAACCTTGTTTTAATTTTTCAATCCTTAGCTATAAAAATTTAACATTTTATACATTTTTAATTTTAGATTTGATAAATTTTGTCAAAATTTGAACTTAAAATGCTTATTAAAAAAAAAAATGTGACTATGTATTTTTAATATTTTTCAGCAGCTTCTGTAACAATATATCATGGAGCATTGTATTACATTTCCAAGCTTTTTGGCTCAACAAATAAAATGTTATTGATATTTATAGAAAAAAAAACTAAAAAATTGGAAACTAAATATTTCTGTAAATAGTTCAAAACAAATCAAAATATTTTGAAAATTTTATCATGTATAGAAAATGCTAATATAAACAACCAGTGAAAATGTCATGTATCTACTGTCTTTTTTGGTTTAGAGTTACACCAAAAACTAAAATCTAAAATATCGTAGCTAAGCCAGCTAGGCTGACATATCGTTTCAGTTCATAACCATTTTTCGTATACAATGATCATTACATTCAAATTTAATACGTCCATTATAATACGTTCCTGGATTTTTGTTTTACCTTTGTGTGACAGTTGTAACTCTTTGTTGTACCATTTCTAAAACAATTTTAAACGTGTTTTTACTCAAACGGAATCTGGCAAAAAAATCATGCTCATCCCATTTAAATAAATGGTCTATTCTTATGGATAATAAATATGGTCTTCGAGGTTTGTTGAAGTATTGATTCATATTACCCAAAAATTCAATTTCTTCATCAGTACTACTATCACTACTACTGCTGCTACTTAAATAAGCCAGAGCCATCTAAGATTAATTTTAAATACAATTTTTGTAATGTGACAATATCAAATAGTTATTTTTTAAGTCAATGGCACTTACATTGAAATAATCACCAATAAACTATAAATAGAATTCAAAAAATCAAAAAATCATTGAAATAAATATTTGAAAAATCAAACAAAATGTAATCGCAAAATCAATATAATCTAATATTGTATACCTAATCTCTAGTTAAACTGTTTAACTAGCCAAATATCTAAGATTAATTAATTTTCGGTTAAAGTCCAGTTAAAATATTAATCCAGTGATCATAAAATCACATTTATAGTTTAACTGGGGATTAAGATTAACTGAAGTTTAAATTATCATAACTGGAGATTGATAAAACGGCCCTTAGTAATCAGTTTTTATATATTTTTTCTTAAATATTTTGTTTTAAAAATTTAAATTTAAATATGCCAAATAATTGTGTAACGTGTGGACGTATTCGAGATTGCCGTATGAATTCAACCAATTGGGAGAGACATACTAATGCATGTGCATTAAAAAATGTCAATAACAAAAGAAAAAAAAACGAATTACAACTACAGTCAAACTCAATTCAGGATTTTTTTAATAAAAAGATAAAAATCCAATCCAATAACGGTAAATCCTATAATACTATAAATCAAATATTCTAGATGAAATCACAAGCATGTTTTAAAAAAAGTTGTATGGAGCTATTCAATATTTTTAAAGTTTTGAATACAATAATTCTGTGGTAAAGAGCTAGAAACTGATATCTGCAAAATGTTAATTTTTAGCACAAGCATTTTAATTTTTTAAAAACAGAAAAATAACTAAAGAGTTTCAGTTTACATTAGGTATTAGAGAGAATATGTTTTTTTTTTCATTGAAAATTTAACATGGTCTTAGCAATAATATATAAACCTCAAAGGCTCAAAATCGACTTTTTTGCAGACATCAGCTTCTGACTCTTTACAAAACAATTAGATAAAATATAATTTTGTTTTTCTAGTAACTGGTAATTCAAGTTCATTTGATCTGAGTATGGCAGATGAGAAAAATGAATTGAACATAGACTTGGAAAATGATTTAGTTACGTCAATTAATCCAGAAGGTAACATTTAGATTACTAACATTTTTAGCATAATTAAAAAGTAATAATGTTGTTTTTATAGTAACTGGTAATTCAAGTTCATTTGACCAGAATATGGCAGAACAAATTGTTAATGTGTTGCAAATGCAAAATAATGAAATTGTTGGGAATGTTGGGATGGATAAACCAATTACAAATTCAACAACGATTTCAGGTAGGTAATAATATTAAATACCTAACTATTGTTTATTTGATTAAAGCATGTTCAATAAGGTATTATTATGCAACTTAAAATATATAGGTATTTTACAATCATATAGACAATATACATATAGGTACCTAATATTACAGTTATATTGAAATATTAGGAGTTAGGGAGTTATAATAATAATCTTACATTCTTACCTAATACCTATAGATGTAGATTGTACCAAATTATTGATTACCTATTATATCTTGCTACTATGTATTTCTTAATAATATTCAATAGAGAAGTATAGTATATTATAGTATTTGAATGCCTGAGCTTTAAAAATAATATTAAAATAAGTATAGGTAGGTACATTTAAGAATTTACCTTTAATTTAAATTTGGGCATTCATAATATTTTTATACAAAGATTTTATATTTTAAGTATTTAAAGATTTATAAAAGTTATTGACCTATATTATTTTATTCCAATGTATTTGAATAAAAATTAATATTATATTGTTCTTTTATTACAACACTAACAATTTTAACGATAAAAAAATTAAAATTTTAAAAACAAATCTATAAGTTCAAAAAATGACAAAAAACAATATTAAAGTTAAACTTTTGAAATCAATTGTAGTTTTGTTAGACCTTAAAGTTGATATGCAAAATAATTAGTGAATAGTGAAGTTAAAATCATATTTATAATTTATACATAGGTGTGTAATAAGAACGAATAAGATAAGATGCATTTTTGACAAAATAAGTTGTTATTATTTTAAAATTATTATAAGTTTCACGATCACTATTTGTTGTACCTAGATGGCAATTATAAACGAATAAGTTATTTTATTTTTAACTGAGTTAAGTTCATCATTTTTTCCTTAATAACTTTAAACTTTTAGAGAAAAATATATTATTTGTCAACTATTAACATTGACTTAACTTAAATAACTTAAGTAATTTGTTTCATAAGCTTGCCTATTTTAGTTTTAGAATAAAATACTATACGTCTATACCTATATATTTTTGTATACTGTAGATCATCAATTACTTTCAAATGATCCTACCAACATTTCTGATGATAATATTATATTGACGGAGAAAGAAGCCGAAGGACCGATACCGTCTCCAGCAACTGATTATGGTTAGTAAACCATGTAAACTACCTTTGTTTAAATAAACTAATTATATTTTGAACTCAAACTATTGATAGCAAGATAATTGAATGTTTTGAATGTCAATATATTATATGTGTATATGCTTTTTATGTCTCACTCTCACAAACACATAACATAGCAAACTATAGGTTCTGAATAATTAATTTAACTGTTACGTTTAAATATAATACATATTGAATTGAACTCATCACTCATGTATTCTTGGTTAGTGATTGACCATTTATACTTTTATTAATGCATGCATATTTTGTTTTAAGGACAAAGTGATTCAAGAACAGAGAACGATCCTGTAAGATTTTCAAATACCAACAAAAGATTAAGTTTTGAACAGAAAAATTATATTTTAAACTTGGGTGCATCTCAACCAACAGCTCAGCATCTGCCATTCCAGAAGTTCCCAAAAACTAACAAATACAGTTTTCATCCTCAGTGGTACACTAGAACTTTGCCTGATGGATCTATAGGATTTCGTAAATGGTTATCATATTCAATTTCATGTGACAAAGTATTTTGCCTTTATTGCATGTTATTCGGTAAATCTCCTAAGAAAGCATGGGTTTATGATAGGGATGGGCAAAAAACATCGATGTTTTTGGTCGATATATCGATGTTTTACCATCGATGTTTAGTCTTCGATACATCGAAAAAAACATCGAGGTTTTGGTCCGATGTTTTTTCCATTTTTTCCATTTTTTCCATTTTTAAAATTTTTTTTTTCCATTTTTTTTTATAGCCATCCTAGGTGTGCATCAGATTTTAGCCCTAAAGGCTGAAGGGGAAAAAATTTTTTCGATGTTTTTAAACGTCGATGTTTTTAAACATCGATGTTTTTACTCCGATACATCGAACACATCGATATTTCAAAAAACGATGTATCGATACATCGAACATCGATGTTCAAAAATTTTTGCCCATCCCTAGTTTATGATGGTGTTTCTCGTTGGAAGGATGTAAACCATATGTTAACGTTCCATGAAACTTCATCTATACACATAGCTGCATCAACCGATGCAACTATACATGAGAAATGTTCCCCAATATTACCAGCGTTTGAAGAAATAAAGAAATTTGATGTTCAAAATAACAGAGTAGTTGTCAAACAACTGATAATTATTGCACTATTTTTAGGAAAACATGGACTTGCGTTTAGAGTCCATAAAGAAAAGTGGACAGATTCTGTCCGTGGAAATTTTAAAGATCTAGTTGTTTTATTAGCTGAATATTCACCTGTATTGTCGTCATATATTACTCTTTTAAAAGATAAAGGAAAATCTATTACATCATTAATATCATGGCAACGACAAAATCAGTTAATTGATGCTATTTCAAATTCAATTAAGAATTCGATTTTACAAGAAGTTGAAATTGCTTGTATTTTCAGCATATCTATTGATACAACATTTGACATATCTAGACAAGAACAGGTGTCTTTCATAGTTCGTTATGTTGATGAAAGCAATGGTATGATCTATGAACGTTTACTTGCAATGTGTTCTACTGCATCTACTAAAAGTGAAACACTATTTAATATCTTCAAAGAAGTTTTTAATAAAACTTGCCTTGATTGGAAAAAACACCTAATAGGACAGTCGTATGATGGTGCAACTAATATGAGGGGTGAGTATAATGGCTTACAATTTAAAATTAAAAATGAAAATCCACACGCTATTTATATTTGGTGTTGGGCTCATCGTCTGAATTTGGTTGTGGAACAAGGTGTTGCAAGTTGCCTTCAAGCAGTTGATTTCTTTGGAATTTTGGGAAAAGTCTTTGACTTTATATGTAGCAGTAAAAATCGTGTTTTTATTTTTGAAAAAAATCAAAAAATTCGTAATCCTAAATTACCAGTTCGTCGTTTGAAACGTGTAACTACTACTAGATGGAGTAGCCACTCTATAGCTTTAGGTACAATTTTACTGACTTGGGAATCTTTAGTTGATACACTGGAAGATCTCTGGACATCAGAAGCTTCATCAGATGCATCATCATTTCTTTCATATTTCCAATCTGAACGATTTCTGTATACATGTTTTTATTTAAACATGTTTTTTCTGTACTTGATTCATTGAGCAAAACCTTTCAAGCAATAGATGTAGACCTTATCACAGCATCATCAATGATAAGATCTAAAAGAGAACAGTTATTAAAGCTCCGCGAAGACTTTAAATCAATTGATATCGAAGTGAAGCAATTCATTGAAAACCATAAAGATGAACATTTTACTCCTTTACAACAAAAACGATCAAGAAAAATGATGCCTGGAGAACAAGCAAAAGATGAACCAACTTCTGAAATTTCTGACCCTTTGACTAACTTTAAGTATCACACTTTTTATATAGTGCTTGATATCATATGCAGTCAGATCAGTCAAAAATTTAATGAATCAACACTGTCTATATTTAAAGATTTATCACTAATAACTAAAAAAAGAATTTTAGAAATAAAAATGGATACTAAAAAACTACCTAGTGATGCATTTGAAGGCGTAGCATCAATATATTCAAAGTATTTCAATGCAGAAACATTAAAGACAGAATTTATATGGCTTATTAATTGTTTTTCTGACTTAGAAAAAACCATTTGTTTACCAAAATATTTTCATAAGGATAATAAAACATAATATTCTGAATCTGAATCCCATAATTCTGATTCTGAGTCTGACGAAAAATTAATTCTTAAAGACCATATTGAAGATTTTACTAATAGCAACTCTCTTATTTATATATTTAAATTATTTTGCAGTTCAAATATCAGATTTACACTACCAAATAATTACATGCTGGTCAAAATTGCAGTGACATTACCTGTTTCCAGTGCTTCTACTGAACGTAGTTTCTCAAAACTTAAGCTAGTAAAAACTAGATTGAGATCAACTATGGCTGAGTCTAGATTAGAGGGCTTAATGCGCATTGCATGCGAACAAGATATTCAAATTAACACTGATAGTGTTATAAATAATTTTGCGAAAAATAGTAGCCAGTTATTAAAATTATTAACTTAAGTACCATTGGTACTTATGAACTATATTTATACAGTGTAACCTGCCTTAATAAAACAATTATTTTAATATACTTAAACAGTTTATATTTTATGGATGAAAGCAAAATTTTAAATCTCTTTGTTGGTTAAATATCTATATTATTAAATTAATTAGTTGTAAAATTTCATTATCTTTCATAAAATTAAAAAAATAAAACTTTTTTATGTAGTTTCAAGCCTGGATTAATTATTTATTGGTCCTCTTATAGCTCAAACTAAAAACAAATTTTGTAACTAAATTTTTACAGTTGTATTTAATTCATTAATTGTATAATTTTATATCATAAAAAAAATAACAAGACTACTAAATTAATAATTATGTAATATTATCATTATAAGATCACGCTGTATTGGTTACTAAACTTTAGGATTTATAACTTAGATTTTTTGTGACCTATCCATATTATACTTACTAATAGTATACTATTAATAAAGAAACTCTATTTTATAATCATCTATGTTCAAAAACAAAACTTATGTTCAAAACTTCCATTTTAATTTACACACATTATTAAATATTTAAATAAAATTTAATTTGTTTTACAATTTAAGATATCTATCTTAAATCTTGATATTAATTATTATTATTACGAATTACTATTAGTAATTTATCGTGATATGAAATTACAAACATTTATAGGTATATATATATTACATAGTATTTTATTGTACATTTAAATATTTTATTATTTACTATTTTAATAGTAAAATAATTTTATATTTATAATACAATTTTGAATATAAGCATAAAAAAAATTTATGTGGAAAGAGGTGGGGCCCAGGTTAGGGGACACCCAGCGGCATGCCCCCCCCTGCAAGGGTAGGTGGGTAGGTGGTACCCTCAAACAGGGTTTACCCCAGTGGTTTAAAAAAGTTTCGGCGCCACTGTATATATATTTAGGTGCTGAAGAACCTGCAATTTTACCATCAGGTAATGCGCTGAGAATCCTGAAATATCGTAGCCTTGAAGCACGGAAAAGACACAAAGATACTTTAACAGCCTTATCAATTATGAGAGATGAGGATGATTTTAAGAATGTCATTCGTAATATTAGCGTATATCCATTTTTTTAAAATTATCATTGTGGTGAACAAATTCATGTTTATCGAAATTACTGTAGTAATATCACTCACTCACGACTGATAATAGATGCTACAGGCTCTGTAGTTAAAAACTTTTACAAGTTTGGAGTGGAAAAAACTAAACATATTTTTTTTTATATGAAGCTCTTGCTTATGACAAGGTGAACCAACGTGGGTTTACTGTAACTAATATGTTAAGTGAAAAACATAATAATTCGACCATTTTTATGTGGTTGTCTGAATGGTTAATTTGTAATGTTCAACCACCTAAAGAAACAGTGTGTGATATGTCATTAGCGCTACTGTCAGCCATAAGTCATTGTTTCACTTAGTACTCATCATTGAATGATTATATTAACGCTTGTGCTGATTTGGTTTTAAATGAATTACTGTTGAAATATACAATTAATATGTAGTACATGTAGTCAGCCATGACACGTGTGTACAATATAGTAACTAGTAATGTACGAACTACGAGCATAACGCCGTGTCCAAAGTAAATCCGAAATGCGTCCGGCGAGTCCGTTTTTACATCGCACTCAACGCACATTATTGCGGCAAACGCATGCATGTCCAACGTGAATTTGCGTCCGATGCGTCCGATGAATTATATCTATATTATATTTAATTATTAACGATATCAAGAGTATTCTCGATGTACTAGAACGTGGTTGAACGCGTAGGAGTGCACTTGTGTTTTTTTCATAATGTCTACACATAATATGCAAAAAAATATTATGCTCGCAGAGAGTATAGGTGTAAAATATTATTTATACAAAAAATACATAAAAAAAAAAAAAATATAAATTCTATTTTGAAAAATCGCAAAATGTTTGTTGAATTTCATCATTTGTATAGAGAATTACGTGACAATGAAAATTTGTTTTACGCATACACGAGAATGTCTACAACAACTTTTGATTATATTGTTGAAAGTATAAAACCTGAGTTTAATCTCAAATCGACCAATTTCCGAGATCCAATTAGTGTGGAAGAAAGACTACTTGTGACACTGCGGTAAGTAAAAACACAAATACATAATATTATAATTTTATAATAATAACAAACTTGTAAAATATTTATTGTAAAAATAAAACAGAATATAAATTATAGTCGGTACAATATATAACTACTCCTGTTGTGACTTATGACTATAGTTACCTACCTATAATATATTAAAATTTAAATTAAATTATAAACCTTTTTGTAACAAAATAATAAATGAAAAAGAAAATTACTTAAATAGATCAAACCTAAAATTAATTTTTAAAGTAACATTATTTATTATTTTATTATGTTGAATTAAATATAATTATTTGAATTAAGAATGTTGTTCAAATCAAATGCACGAGGTGTTGAATTTTGTGGTGTTTCTCTTTGAGCAAATGTTGGCATATTGTATGTTGGAGTATCGTATGTTGGTTGTCCTTGTGTTAGTGATAATTCATTTATTATTACACTTTGAATCTGATTCCTTAAACTTAGCTTTTGTATAGGAAGCATGGTTTTAAAGTATGGATGGAGAGATTTTAAAAATAACATATCATCATCGTCAATATGATTAGTCGTATTGGACTGCAGTAAAGCATTTAACTTTTCGGTTTCAATCTTTAGTAGTTCATCTTCAAAAGCTTTACTATCATTTTTTTTTCTTTTAATAGAACGAACATTTTCAGAATTACTTGTACTTTCTGAAATTTGATTAGTACAATTAGAATTTCCAGATTGAGATACAGATGACAAATTTTCAATACCAATGACGTCAATAGGACTTGAAGTGTATTCTTGACTATCATTAAAATAATCATTTTTATTGTTTTCTAATGCCTCTAAATTTTCCTCTGTATATTCTTTTTCACTTTCATCATCAGAAATAGTATTGTCCGTTTTCCGTGGTGTTGTCGTATCGTTTAGAAAGATCATTAAATTGAAATAATTCCACTTTCCCGTGTATACTTCAGCACCCTCCTGAGAATTTCCCGAACGACTTTTAGTTACTTTTTTTTTTCCTTTAAAAAAGTATCTCTCAAACTTCTCCATTTTTTTTTTACTTCTTCAACTGTAAAAAAATACAAATCTTAATCTACTAAATAATTTGTAAATTTTCAACTTGATAAATTTCGTCAAAATTCAAACTTTAAATGTTTATAAAAAAAATTGTGCTAATGTATTTTTAATATTTTTCAACTACTATTGCAACAGTATATCAGGAGCCTTGTATTAAATTTTCACACTTTTTGGCCCAACAAATAAAATTTTATTAATATTTAGAAAAATAGAAATACAATTACAATTACAATTACTAATTATTGTATTATTCTTAACAGGTACTTAGCAACAGGATTAGCTTTTAGGCAGCTAGCACTAACGTTCAGAATATCTAAATCAGGAGTAGCAAAAATAGTCATTGAGGTGTGCAAAGCTATTTGGTGTACATTAAAGAATAAACACATGCCTACTCCTACCGTTGACAACTTTAAAAATATAGCTGACGAGTTCTACGAAAAATGGAACTTTCCTAATTGTGTGGGTAGCATTGACGGGAAACACATAAGATTGAGGTGTCCTAAAAACTCAGGAAGTATGTTTTACAATTACAAACAATATTTCTCTATTGTTTTAATGGCAGTTGTCGACGCCAAATATAGATTTATAATGATAAACGTTGGAGGTTATGGTAAGGATAGTGATGGTGGTATTTTGTGCAATACAAATTTTCACCAACGTCTAGAATCTGGTACTCTCAAATTACCAATAGAAAGGAAATTGGGCAATTCGGGTATCTCAGCCCCCTATGTTTTTGTTGGTGATGAAGCGTTTCCTCTTAGAAATTATCTAATGAGACCATTTCCAAGAAACCAAGCACAAGAAACAAACAAGTCATATTATAACTACCGATTATCCAGAGCTAGAATGACTGTTGAATGTGCATTCGGTATCGCATCCTCAAAATTTCGAATTTTATTGAAAGCAATAGAAACTAAAGTTGAAAATGCCGACCACGTGGTAAAAGCGATTTGTATATTGCATAATGTAATAATTGATATTGAAAAAGATGAGTCAAGAAATCAAGAAATAATAAATACCTTTCGTGAAGCCAATACAAATTCAAATAATAATCAATTGATGGGAATAAATCCAAGACACAGATCTAATAATCGTGCATCTCGTTCGGCTATTCAGATTAGAAATAATTTTGTACATTATTTTCAAGAAAATAAAATTTAAGTTTTACAAGGACTGATGTTAAAATGTATTATTATGTTGTACATCATAGATATAAGCATAAATCACAATAAAAAATAAAAATAAATAAATAATAGATCACATATAAATTTAATAATTAATAATTTTAAAAATATTTTAATTTGTGAATTATTTTTTACAATATAGGTATGTCGTATTAATTATTTAATTATAATAATATTATAAAATTACATTAAAAAAATAATATACTTACTATTCATTTTAGTTTTGATTGCAACTGCGTTCCATTCCTTTTCACTGTGGATCCTATCTCTATATTTTTTATGAAATTTGTTCCACAACACTGGTCTTTTTTGGACTTCCGAAATCAATAACTCCATTTTAAATTATTTAATTTTAATTTTTACGTATATTATTATTAAATATATTGTATTAAATTAATATTAAATAGACGAATACGTTTGTCTGTTTTTGCGTCCGATGCGTCAAAAAACAAAATGATTTGTTTTTCAAATCGTGCGGCGGATACGACCGATGCGATGTCGGACGGATCGGACGCAAACCCCATCCAGTTTGGACAGGTCGTATCATGTTAGTAAGTTTGCTTTTCATTTCGGCCGCATCGGACGCAACGTATCGGACGCAACGGACGCAACGGATTTACTTTGGACACGGCGTAAGACTCACTCTCTTCACGGATGTAACATGACCTCGGTCGTGCATATATATAGGGCCTTTGATGTATGTAATATTCACTTGCACAGGCGTCGTTGTACAGAGCGTATACGATGTGTGTGTACTGTCACAGTTTAATTGTCCAGTTGTACGTTATTATATATTATACTTATACATAATCATATTGTCGTGTTATTACTTATTATATTAATGCTAACATCATTAGTCCGTCAAGCTTCACTTTCAACTCCGAGAATCTCATTGGCTACCAAGGTATGTATAACATAAATCAATTAAAAATTAAAATGCTTGAGCATCCATATTTTTATTAACTATTCTATACGAGTACCAATATACTAGGTATAACGAAATATTATCATCTGAGTAAAGGAGATAGTGGTTACTGTTTATTTTACAATTAAGTCAATTTGCTTTTGTGTACAACTTTCTGCCCAAAAATGTTTATACTATACATAAAGATAAACTCATTAAATTTTCTGAGTTCAAATTTTACATCTTAACCAATAAATTACTTTAGTTGTGTATATCACATTGTTATAAATGGTGTTTGGCATAAGGTTTATTAAATCTCATTTGAATATTTTTTTAATAATCGTCTTATCAAGATCAATTTTTTTTTTAAATTTTAACTAGATCATTTTTTCCTGAAATTATATTATTATTCATCTATTAACTCATCTAGGTTATAGATGATTGTATTGCAAAGTAAATATTATATTATCTAATATCTAAATAACTATTTAGTTATCTACGCCTAAACCGGGTTTTAATTATTGTTATTAATACGTTTAGTAATTGATGATCTTTTTAAGGTGTTTTATCAGAGTAGACGTAGCACATTTTATCAAGTTAACAACTAAATGGGTGCCACTGAAATCAGTAACCAAACGTGTCAGGGAAGTCATTCTTCGAGTAATCGGACTTATGGTTAAATGTCAAAATATTTCGGATATAAAAAAAATTTTGATTTCTCTATTTGTTGTAATTACAAATGAAACTGATGGTTCTGACATAAACACTGGATTAGCTACACCGTGTGAATCACATAAAAAAGAATTGATCAACTTCACATCGACAGGTTGTTTAAACATATATTTTACACAAAAAAAAAAATTGTAATATTAAATATTAAATTATGACTATGAATTGGTATGTTTTAAGGTACTATAAATGAAGAAATGATGTTCAATGATGCACAGGAATCCATATTGGAAGAAGATGACAATTTGGAGGAGGGTCTACTAAGATACAACCCATTCTAAACCTGGGCTGAGAACATTTATGAAAACAGCACGCAATATATAAAAGAGGGAACAGGGATCAATGCCATGTATTTACCGACATTGGTTCCATATGTTATAAAATGCATGAAACTTTTACCTCTATGGTCAGGTATCATGGTTCCAATATATGGATATGGTGATGAAACTGCAAGTTCTGCCGCAGTCGAGTCGAGTTTCAAAAAACTTAAAACTGTGACATTCAAACAAGACAATTTACCGATTACAATTGAAGACTTTTTACCACGTCATATTTATTCACTACGAGGAGCATCCCTAATTCTCTCAACAAAAACTTCAAGTACAATAAATTGATTTAAAACAGCTTACATACCTCTGTATTTATTGTTGTTTTTGGTTGATAAACTCCATGTAAAAAGTTTGCCATTACTTCATAAAAGATCCAATTCGGTTTGTATATTTCATCTCTTCCGGACCCAGTTTTAGTGCTGTTTTTCACCTTTTGAGCCAATGGCCGATAAGTCGCCATAAGCGAATCCTTCTTCTTTTTTAATTCCACAATTGCAATGTCTTCGCTGAAGTTGTCTTTAATCCTTTTCCAGGCATCACTGACAAGATTTCTATTTTTATGCAATGGGTCCTTTGGATTCCAAATTAATGATTCTTTTTCAAATAACGACAAAAATTCCAATGTCTTTTCATTGGACCACTCCATTTCGATGAAATTTTAGTATATAATCCACAAGAAGGTATATAAATTTAAATAGTTAAAAAAATTTAATTTAATTTAATTTAATTAAAGATTATTTAAATGTTGACGCCGATTGCCAAGTGCACGATTCGTGTGGAATGACGTTCCTCGTGCGATTACTACTGTAGTGATATTAAAATTATATAATGATATTAACAATAAATAATCGTCTATTTTTGGGGGAAATCCAAGATTAAATTTCTTATCAGCACGAGTCACTCGTGTTGTATCCGACACCGACGGGAAACCGCGAGTGACTCGGCGAGTAAAAATAATCGTCGTGCTTTACGATTAAATACCTCACACACGACTCGCAAAGTAGTACGATTGACGAATATTCGCCGGTTACACGAGTCGTGTGGGACCGGCTTAATATATAAAAACAATGATTTGATCTTACAAGTTACAAGGCGATTCGCACCTGCAACGCATAATATAATAAACAGAACGGCGATTTTCACTGTTTTCGCGTTAACGGTGATTAACGGACTGCCGGCTTAGGCGGCTGTGGTAATTATACATGGGCCGGCTCGTCATCGGCGGCCGTGCCGTTTTACGTAATAGATAACAATAGTACAGCAGGTAAATATAATAATATAATAATTCAATTAGACAATAAAATTAATATGTTTTGTGTATGCCGGTCGGTGGCGGAGTGGTGATACGAGGTAATATAATAATTATGAATATTTTATTCATTGGCTTGGACAACACATATTACTAGTAAAAAAACAATTTTGTACCAACTCGTATTATATGAATTCCCTACATTTTTTTTCAATATCCATATTTTTTCACTGTAATTTATTTAAAACAATTATACATAAATACAAAATCAACATATTGAAATAACAAGATTAACCAATGGAAATCCATTTTTATTCTAAATTAACAGTTTAAAATAATAAATTGAAAAAAACTGTCTTTTTTTATCTATAAACAATGTAAAACAAACTTCATAATACAGAATGTATAACAATTAACAATATTTTATTACATTATAACCATAACAAAATATAATAACAAATTAGTTTAAAGTATTCAATTAAAAAAAAAACAATCTTCGTTTACTATAAATAATATAAAAATCAAATTTTGAAGTTGTACATTTGTTTGTTAGTAGGATATATTTGCCGATCCTAGGACTGCCACCGCCACCGACCACCAGCACTACTCCCGCCTCCGTTACATTGACACCGCCACCACCGCTACTCCACGCCCAACCCGCCGCCACCTCCGTTACTCTCCGCCAAGGCAAAGTACTCTCGGCGTATGTAATACCTATATACTATGCATGTTAATGCTAAACACACTATATACCTAATCCTCACAATGGAATTTATAAATTTAAGGGGCAAAAATTATTTTGAAAATAAAATTCTTATCACTTTCCTTATCAATAAAAACAATATTTAAGAAAATCCCAATAAATCCTATCAAAAACTCAAAACCCCGAGTTTCTCCTTGGCGAGGTGGGTGTTAGTACTCTCCCGGACCAAAATCCAAAAGGGGGGGAGGAGGTGCCCCCGTTCCCTAAAGCAGAAAACGGTAGTCTTCATAATAAGAATGGGTTCCCCCTTGGTCCGAGGTCTTTAACTTGAATTCCGGCCGAGTTACACTCAACTCAAAATGTGGGGGAGTGGCAGCTTTGGTTCCCTAATGTTGAAAATTCATCTGGGGCCTAAAAAATTGAGATGCCCATTGGTCCGGGGTGCGTATTTACGTTCTGTACATGAATCTAGCACTCGGTGCCAAATCAACGTATAATCCGGAGCTTGTAATTTCTGTTCCGTTTTATACACGAGTTTAGCACTTTAGCGGTAGTCAGCATACAATAGTGTGTAACGGTATTAAATTAAATTAAATTAAATTAATTACATTAATATAATAATACAATTATGTTAGTGTTTGTAATTAAATATTATTAATATATTTTTTTTTACACACTAGTTACACATTTTTATAAATCAGCTTAAGTATTAAAGTATATAATAATAAAATAATGTTAGTCCTAGTAAGAGTTTTTGACCTGTAGCTGTGGGTACGTAATATTATGTTGTAGAATGTAGGTAATGTAATAATAATTACGTTTGATAATGCGAAGCGATAGTGCGATAGCAAAAATCGAACAAGTGGGAATTTTTATACATTTATATATTTTATACACTGAATTCGTACTTTTATCAAATAAGTACCTCTTATACTAATTGGTGCATAGGTACATTAGTATTTAGGTGCTATATAAGATTCAACAGTACATATCCGTCGTTCTACGCGTGGTTAGGTTAGTTATTTAAATGCCTATACTAAACTGATTTATCTTTATTTGTAATTTTAATAAAAAATGACTACTATGATTTCAAATCTTTTCGATTTTGATTCATACTGTGCGATAATTAAGAGTAACGTCGAAGATTCAGAAAAATTAGAAATTGTTTTAAGGACCAAGTTTAACACAATTGACGAATCGTACCATAAAACATGCGATGACTGGGTTAAATTATTTTCTGAGTCATCAAAAACTAATTGGATTGTAAGAAATACATTTCCAAACATTAAATTGTTTGAATATCGTAAGGATTATGTTTGCCAACATTCTTCGTGGAATAAAGTACTTGTAACTAATAGTACTAGAAATCGCAATAAAGGTTGTAACAATGCATTTATTAAAATTCATATCAAAAAAGATACAAAAGACACGCGAAAAAAGGATGTATTGATACGTAAAGGACTGAATGCAGAAATAAAAGTAAGTAAAAGTAAATTATTTCAATGAAAATAGTCAAGTTCGAAAAAAGTATGATAAAATTGTAAAAATATTTTGATTTGTTTTAAACTGTTTACAAATATTTTCAGTTAAACATTTTTAACCACAGAATAATTTTAAATTTTAAATTTGATAAATTTTTTCAACATTTGAACTTAAAATACCCATAAAAAAAAATAGGGACTACGTGTTTTAATATTTTCAACTACCATTGTAACAATAGGATATTTACAATATTTTTAGTTTTCACTTTTATGAAATTCAATAAAATTGAAATTTTGACACAAGGCTTCTAATATTTTGTTACAATGGTAGTTGAAAATATTAAAAACACGAAGTCACAATTTTTTTTGTAAGTATTTAAAGTGTAAATGTTGATGAAATTTAAAAGTATTTTTACGTAAATAGGTTGTAATATATAAATTACCTTATTCACAACAATAGCATCAATTTTTTAATATTTTTAAATTTTTTTTCCAGATAAATTTCCATCACACACATAAAATAAATAATGCTGAGGCTTATAGTTACTTAAGAGTAACAAAACATATTCAAGACGAATTTATAGAAATGTTTTCAAACGGAATGACACCTTCAGCAGCTAAAGCATATCACGAAATTAAAATAACGGCCAACATTGACGATGATATACAAGTTATTAAACTATTAGCAGATGCACAAACAAATCCCACGGACCGACAAGTGTATCAAATGTTTGATTATTGGAGGTAAGTAATTTTTATGTTTTCATTAAATTGTATACGTAAATAAAATAAAATGTCCTTTTAGGACAAAACATTTTGGTGATCGTACAGAAAATAGCATTGAACAAGTTGTGAGGGAAATGCAAAATACATTTCCCGATTGTATTATTGAAGTGCAGGAAAATCCATTTTGTATTTGTATTGTAACGCCCATAATGCAAATCTAGGTTTCTCCAGCAAACTGTTTGATTTAACAGTCCATGAATGAGAAGTATTTTGAGGGAGAACTGGATATTCGCACAAGTCGCAATTTCTGAACGCACATGTGAGCGGTTTACGAGAATCTAATACTTTTAACAGTTTAATTTTTTGTTTGTCGCTCACCCTGATAACAGGCATTTTCCAAATAATTTTACTCAATTCAATAGCTACTTTTTTAAGCTTTTCTTTACTTTCATTTGCAATGGTCTCCGAAACGTACAACGCATCAAAGTCTGTAGATGATCTGTTTAAAATTATTTGTTGGTTGCAGTTGAGGAGTATTTTTTTATAATCTTCACAAAATCCGAACAAGTGTTTGAGTTGGATACAGCCAGCAAATTTGTTATTCAACATGAAATGTTTATTTTCACTGGCATCCATATCTACATCCCAAGCAGCATTCTGTAGATTGTTCAATTCATTAGGAGTGTGTGAGCAGAAACCTTTAAGACTCGAAGATATTCCAGGAGATTTTAATTTTTGTATTTCCAAACCGTTAATTTCATATCGGATTTCAGAAAGCAAAAACGCTAAACCATTGTTTGTAAAATGTATTTCGTTTGCATATGCTGCAACATCTGTCGGTATATTCAATTTACCTTCAATATAAAGATAGCTCTCACAGGGTAGAGTATATGCGTCCATATTTTGAATAGATATTCTAATTTCATCGTTATGGGATAAAGCTGTTGAAGAATAAGGTAGGAAAGAGTGGTACTGCATTTGGGTTATTTTGCAATCATCATCATATCCACCGGCTACGTCCAAATACATGTAATCCATGATTATAGAACTTTAAAGACCGTAGAAACGATAGATTTTGTTTGGTTAGTTTGGACGGCGGACGTCTAGACGTATTAACCTTGTTAGTAGAACTGTTGGCACTCTTGATCGCATTTCTTTTTATATATTTAATGAACTTAATAGCCATCTTTATGTTTAATTTGTATACGAACTGTGATTGGCTCCCCTCTTAAATTGATTAAATTATTATCTTGATCTTTTAGTACAATATTTACTTTACTTATAGACGAAGAATTGAGCCGATAGAAAACTAAATGTTTCGGAACTTCGATGATTTTATGTCCAGGCGGCGAAGAAGGGAAAAACTCGTGTATAGTCTGGCTCGGTATACCATTACTGAATGAACCAGAAATTAGATTGCAATCAATTTTTATACAGTTGACTTTCATTATGTTCACTATCCGATCAGATTCGTGTAATGTCTTGGC